TGCCCTTGAAATGGGTGTTCCAACAAGACAACGACCCCAAACACACCAGTAAACATGCAACATCTTGGTTCCAGACCAACAAGATTGACGTTATGGAGTGGCCAGCCCAATCCCCGGATCTTAATCCAATAGAAAACTTGTGGGGTGACATCAAAAATGCAGTTTCTGAGGCAAAACCAAGAAATAGAGAAGAACTGTGGAATGTAGTCCAATCATCCTGGGCTGGAATACCTGTTCACAGGTGCCAGAAGTTGGTTGACTCCATGCAACACAGATGTACAGCAGTTCTCAGAAACAGTGCTTATACAACTAAATATTAATTAAGTGATTCAAAGGAAAGCAAAATCTTCAAACATTTTTCAGTTTATATAGTGAATGTTTGAGTTTGTAAAGAAGAATACAAACACTGCTATTTTTTGAACAGTCTAATATTCACTTTTCTTCAATTTTTCTAGAGGAACAACACAAATTTGATATATTTTTCTTCATGTTTTGATTTGGAATATAATGTGTAGTGTTCCCAATGCGTTTGTGTGTATGGAAATAAAAGCTATTAGAAGGATTTTGAGCTTTATTCACTTTTTTCAACACACTGCTATTATTTTGAACACAACTGTGTATATATATGTATATGTGTGTGTGCTAAACAGTTTGCATTTGCAGTTTTCCATCTTCGCCCTGGGTGCTGGATGACCTTGTCCCGGCACTGCTACAGGTAAGCCTTATTATAGGCTTACCTGTAGGTACAAGTACAAAAACTTACTTTACTACCACTTTAAGCTATATTTTTTCATGTTAGGCACATTTCACACGAGTGTTCTGATCAGGTCTGCCTGTCAGTTTTTCAGGCAGACCTGATTGGAAGGTCCATTCATCCCTATGAACAGGCGATTTCACCAGATCCGGTCAGGCCCACTAAAAAAAAAAAAAAACAGGAGAGGACTCTTGTCCTCTTCCATTTAGGCAGAACAGATCGGAGGTAGCTGGGTGTAAACAGACAGCAGAAATTGAGTGTACATGGATGTATCATCCGCCTGCTCTGCTCCGATCAGCAGGGAAATCAGCTCATAGATCCCCTGTTGATTAGAATGAAATCCGCACACATGAAAGGGGTTCAGGGGCGGACTGACCATTCGAAGACTCAGGCACTGCCTGAAGGCCCGGGGTCAGTAGGGGGCCCCATGAGATGCCCCTGGTACATTTCATTGGCTTTTTCATAGGCTTTTTTGGGTGTGTGCAAGGACACAGGAGCCCCATAGTCCCCTATTTCCCGGGGGCCCCACGCGTTGTCAGTCCACCCCTGAAGGGGTTTTAAGTGCACGCATGCTAACTATTGTGTAATTATAAAGCTTTGCTCACACCATCATGTTTAACACATGTATCATGAAACAAAACTGCACACGTGCCACCTTCTTTTCTCATCAGGATTGTGCTCTTTGTTTAAAGTGCACCAGGTCCCAGACTATAGACTTTAAATATTAAGTGTTAAGTAGGTAAATCAGTAAAAGCCATCACTGACCTATTTTATCTGTCTGTATTCTGAAATTATTAATTCTTAAAGATACTCAAAGATCACAATGAAGATTGTAAAATCTGTTTTCGGTCGGTTTTTAACAGCTTGCAGCAGCCATTTTCAATCAGGGTGCTTAGGCACATACCACACATATGTAGCATCATAGCAGTGGGCATTCTTCCATGGCCCAGCATCAACACAGAATGTGTTTTCTCTGGGAGTGTGCTTAATCATGCACCCCCAATATGGGGACTGAGCTGTCACTGACAGCTCCTGGTCTCATAGCAACTGTTGGAAGACAGTAAAACTAGTTCCAAATCACATGATGACTGTAATGGCCCATCCTGGTGATCATTATTATTATTATAACCCACCAGCAGAATTTAGTGTAGACATCAGAATTTGGAGCATCTAGGCATGGCAGCCAATCAGTTTCTAGCTTTCATTTTCAAAGCTTAAAGCCGAACTAAACCTAACTGATTTAAATCGGAATTAAAGGGAGTGAGATATTCACCTTTCCTGCTGAGCCATTTTGTTCTCCCGGCAGGGGGATTGCATTTAAAATCGGACAAGCTGGTTGTACCCTAGTTGATCAATCAATCAACTTGGGTACATTCAGCCTGTCCATACGTGGTTTGAACCATCTATGGACGCCTTTAGCCTCTCTTTGATCTGCAGTTGCCATGTGATTGCACGTGATCAATTATGACACAGTTATTTGATGGGTTGACGATTTGGTTGAAAGCTCAAGGTCTTTTGACAGTTACCATTCATACCTTGAATGTAAGGCTCTGTTCATGTAGGAAAGGGGTGGGCAAATGTGGCTCTCCAGCTGTTGGTGAACTACAAGTCCCATCATGCCTCTGCCTTTGGGAGTCATGCTTCTAACTGTCAGTTTTGCAATGCCTCATGGGACTTGTAGTTCTACAACAGCTGGAGGGCCACAGTTGCCCACCCTTGCGTAGGGAAATTAACTCCATGCCCTGTGCAGGTCCATCTTTTACAGGCACAAGTAAGGAGATGGTGTCTGAAAGACCTCGATAGAGGTGTGGGACTCATGGGGCATTGGGTAAGTTACAGCCCATGATAGTTTTTTCAAGCGTTACCCAGCCTTTCTAATTTACATGATGTCTCCAACTGAGTATTCTAGTTAAAGCAACAGCCCTATAATTATTCCTCAAGTTGGGGAGGCCTAGTCCACCCTTGGATTTAGCCCTCATAAAGATTTGATATGCCAACCTAGGCTTTGTATTTCTTCACACAAAATTTGTGACGATCTGCTTGATGCAAGAAAAGATCGTTTTCGGGAGCACAATGGGCACGATTTGTAGGTGAAGCAAAATCCTTGATAATACATTCATTCTTTTAATGTTAATTCTAGCAAACCATGTACACATGGCTTTATCCCATCCTTGTAAATCCTGTTTTATCGGATGAAGCAAGGGGATATGGTTTTCCTTATACAACCTTATCAAATCAGAACTCTTATGGACCTAATTATCATTGCACCAATACCGACACTGGTATTGATGTCGATACTAAGCATTTGCACAAGTACTTGTACTTGCACAAATGGTTCGATGTTAAAATTGATATCTTCAAACAGGCCCAGATTGGCCATAGGGCACACTAAGCTTTTGCCCAGTGGGCTGGGGCCACATGTCCTAACAAGTGCTGGTGGGGCCCAAAGCAGCTGCCCCTTAAGTCTGTGCCGCTCACCCAGCCTCTCTGTGGTCACCGATTGAGTTCACAGTATGGCTGTCAGGACTGGGGGTGGCGGAAACAAGAGGTCAGCTTACCCATGAAGGGGGAGAAGCTGGAAGAGGTCTCTGCTGTGAGCAGACCTCCTGATCTCATGATAGGTGTCACTGCTGTGTTGCTGCCTACCACAGACATGTGGAGGGAGCTGGTCTCCGTAGAGAGTGCCACTGCCAGTGATGACTGATCCCAGCACTGCCACTGACTGAACCCAATCCCCCTAACCACCGCTGGAACTAATCCCATCCCTCCACCAGTGCATCCCTAGACCTAATATTCCACTCAAAAGGAAATGATTGAGAGAGAGAGCCAAACATGGCATGATGTAAGTACATTGACAATATTTTGGGATTGGAGAAATGTACTTTAAAGTTCGATAGAATCCTGAACTCCTTTTGGACCATCATCAAATTGGACAGAGTTATCAGCAGATCTGAAATGTAAAACAATATATAATCTGTGTAGGGGGATAGTTTGCGTTCAGTTGAACCACAGTAAGCCTGAGTATGTTTGGGTTCCCTCTGACCTTATGAAGCAAAGCTTCTGTGAGCAGTGCAAATATCAGCTTGGACAAGGGGCAGCCCTGACGGGTCCCATTTTTCATCCTAAAAGGTGTTGAGAGGGTGGGTGTCACGAACCTTAACCCTGGCAGAGGCCGCTCCATATAGAACTAAATTCCAGTGTAATCATTTGGGTCCAAGACCCAGAACAATTAGGGTTTCTTCTAGAAAAATCAAGTCCACCCTGTTGGTAATGTGCATGCTGCATGGTGGCCTTACTCTCCTTATGAATACCAGTTATATAGGCCATAAGAGCCTCTGAAGGAATGCCATTGCCCTTACTCAGGGTGTTGAAAAATGAGGAGGTAGGAATGTATAACATTAGGTATTGTTGTAGCCATCTGGCCCTGAACTCTTTTCTTTATGGAGGTCTTTAATGGTATGTTCACTTTCCTACTGGATAATTGGCTTCTCTAAGGAGGGAATTGATTCCACAGAAAATTTTGGGTAATGCACCTCCAAATATTTCTGTTCATCATAAACTGGACAAAATAGACTCTGTATGGCCATCTTTAGAGTACAGTTTCCTAACCGACGCTAATGCCTATGCAGTTTCTCAGCTTTGCCTATACTTTCCCTACAGCAGCTTCCAATACGATGATACTATAGGAGCTATGTGCCCCACTCTATAGTGTCAGAACTGGCATTTCCAAAAGCTTGGGTTGTCAATTTAAAGTCCAAGCAGTGCAAAATTCTCAGGCGAGTCTGCACAGAAATTCCCCAGGATTCACCTTGAATCGATTGTAGAGAGAAGCCTGAACCTCCTCTTTATTGATTACTTGAAGTTTGTAGCGGCCAATCAACATCTGCAGGATACATGTACAACCACATAATGAAAGCCATATATTTTAGCTGTACCTGTGTCATATGATTGACTGTTTTCCTTAAAGTCTTACAACAAAGTGACCATTTGTCCATGTATTCAATGTAACATAGCTTAGATTTCCTATATTCATTTTGTTCTGGTGAGGTTGATTCACAGTTTATAGTTTCTTGTTTGTTAATGCTATTCCTAGATTCCAGGGTGATGCAAAATGGATAATGGAAAAAAATGAAAATAAATTCTGACAGACAAGTTAGCTGAAAGGATGCATATCACTTATAATAAAACTGCATTGAAGGATATTGATCTCACTGTCTACTGAAAAATGTTTTTTTTTTTAATGTAGATGGAGTTTAAAATTGAACATGAGTGGAACAGCAGTCCTGTATCACATGACCCAGTGACAATTTGTCTAAAGCCAGTACCAGAAGGGCTTCAAATGGATGTTACTGCTCCATTCTTCAATGATCCAGCTGCTCCCCCTGGTCCACCTGGAAACCCTTTTCATGGGCTATGGGACTATGAAGGTTTGTGTTTTGTCCTGAAGATGAAAGAGACCACACACATTCAATTGCTAAAAGAGTATCTATGATCAAAATCTAAAATCATATATTAACACATTGGATTTTTGTGTTAAACATACTTTGTGAAGATTCCCCACACATTACCTTGTTGCATTCTTTGACACATATTCATTATGCCCTGTGGGTAGGCCCTGCTGTGTCACGCATTTCACAGGGCCTGCCTTCTGTACTACAAAGGTACCAACAGGAGGAGTTGTAGGGGGCAGAGTCGGTACAGGAATTGTTGCTTGAAGGCAGCAATGTACCATGGGATATGCAGTCCTTAGAAGTTAAAAGTAAACAGCGGAGGAGAAGCTGATAGCATAATGGGAACCTAGAAAAAGAGATGGCCATCAGACAGGCAGCACTCATAACATGAAAGGAGATTTTTAAAGTAAGCTTATTGAGGATTGTCAGAAATAACTATTGTTTGTATTGCTCCTACAGTGCTGATGTTATAAAATGAAAGTGTATGCTGTGACCATAGATCTTCTTGAAATATGAATTGATAAAGAAGAGATTCTCTTCTTCTTTTGTTTGATAACTGTTGCTTGGATAGGAAGTGAGGGGATTCCTGTCTTACACTTATACATATTGCAATGAAATTCTTACTCAACTTCTAGAACTTCCCCACTATGCTAGAAAATGTATTTTTGTTGTTCATTTAATATTTCCTCTTACTTTTAACTCCCATCAGAGAGGAATTAGGGAGATTTCATCATTTCCGGTTATGTCTAATGCCCATGAAAGTGAAGAGAAACCATCCAAATGGGAACACAGCAGTAAAACATTTAGGAAGCACTCAATAACTTCCACATTCTTTGTATGTAGACTATTTTAAACCAGCATGCCATTTGAAAACACTTTTAAAAAATCCTCTGAAAACACTATAAACTTTTAAAAATATAGTTTTTTCTTACTGTGGAAGTCTACGGGAACTTTGTTGGGGATTTCTAATATTCAGACACTTTTGGGGTGTTGTAAAGTAAGTATGCTGTAAACATAGACCTCCAAAAATCCATACATGCACCTCAGGATTAAATGTCTGCCATCTGTCCTGCTACTGGTCAAGTGGGGTATACTGTATGTGGCATCATTTTATCTATGACAAGTATAGATTTCAGGGTATATTTTAGCAGAAGAAACTATCACCTGAAATTTCTTTAGTGATGAATTGAAACCAAAATGATAAAAATGCCACATTTTTCTCTAATTTTGGAATAATTAGCCAGTAGTTTGAAAGTAGCCTAAAATCAACATTTGAATAGCCGATGGGATCTAATGGTGGAATTTATCTGCTGTGGAGGCACTTCAGGGTCTCTGCGAAAGAAGTATGATAAAATGAAGTTTTGAAAAACTGTCCTGAAAAATCCAAAATGCACACCTATCGTTATTGGTCTGCTGCCTGCTGAGCTTGCAATGCATATGGTACCGTACTTGGAAAGCAGTAGAATTTATTTTAGGGTGAAAAAACTCTAGCAATAAATTAAAAGTTAGGTTCACCTTTAGCAACATGTTACATCTGTATTTAGCCGCTGTAACATTCAAAATGTGGGTGGCTGTGCGGGGCTCACATCCATGTCATTTACAAAGATCTGTGAATGAATAAACTTCAGGTCCCATCTGACACCGTGGCAGACAGCTTGTAGTTCTCAATGGACTGATAAAAAGCCTTGATAGCTGGAGTGATAGTGTGCAGTATCTACTGATTGCAAGTGCAACACTTTGCAGGCTTCTGTGTACAAAAGTAATAAATACACATCTTTTTTCCTGCAAAAATATGTGTATTTATTTTTTATTTGAAGGTGAACTTAGCTTTTAACAACTGAGGTGCTGAAATTACCATCCATTGCTTGTGTCCACTTTAAATTATTTGCGGAACTAATCTGAAATAAATAACTGAACAGAACATGTAAACATCTAAAATAAATTTTATTAATCTCCATGTTAATCCTTTTAAATTTTATCGGCTTTAATTTCTGTTCAACAACTGGCTCTTGTCAAGCAGATTTGTTTTAGAGGGGTAATACAGACACTGATCCAAGGAAGGGATATGCCCCACCCTACTAACACTTAGGGCATTTTTAGCGTGTTGTTAATGTGTTTAGTTAAAATTTAACACAAGGCAATTGCATTTTACATGCGTTTTTCATTCCTGGTCAGTTGGAAAAAAATTGACATATGACTCAAAAAGTGCCCTTGAAAAAAATGCTCGGTGCATATTTGGTTCATTTCCATTGACTATAATGAAAAGTGCATTATTGGAGCTTTTTTTTCCCCCTTGGATGGAGTATATGGGATGCCCAAGGAACTGTAGAACTCGAGGGCAAACTTCTCAGCAACTATGAACAAAAATAAAGCAAATATAGCACTGTCCCTATTTCGTGTACCTCCTCAGACCACAGATTAAATTTAATTCAATTTCAGGTACATATATAGCGCTGTCAATTTACACAGTGCTTTACATATATATAATGTACATTCACATCAGTGCTTAACCCTCAAGGGGTGTACAATCTAAGGTCCCTAACTCACATTCATACATACGCATACTAGGGCCAATTTAGATAGGAATCAATTAACCTACCAGCATGTCTTTGGAGTGTGGGAGGAAACCGGAGTACCCAGAGGAAACCCACGCAGGCACAGGGAGAACATGCAAACTCCAGGCAGGTGGTGCCGTGGTTGGGATTTGAACCAATGACCCTAGTACTGCCAGGTGGAAGTGCTAACCATTTAGCCACTGTGCTGCCCACATGAATCCTCCTCTTCACCCAACTGTTCTGAGGATATCCCTGAGAAAGGGGGTCCCAAGAGCTTGCACTCAAGCAGTCCCAGGTGAAGACTAGTTGGGTATTGTACCTGACTGCCCTCTTCCCTTATCCAACCCAGGGTGTGTAGGACTGTCCTGTCAGTGTGATGGATTGGTAGCTGCTTTCAAACCTTTTTGCTGGGCTGGCTCCTTCCCTGCTGCTCAGGATGCCCTCCCCAGAAGACTTTAGGCAGTGGAGATCCTCCCATCCAGCAATCAGGCTGTAGGTAGGCTCCCCTCCCTGGGGCTGCCTCCAAGGCTCCACACTCCAGCCTTCTCTCAATCCATCTTCTACCAAACTCCCCTCTCTCCCCAGGCTATGTCATATTTGAGGGTTGCCCTGGTCACCATGCCCAGTCTCCTGCCAGGGGATTGGCCAAGGACCATCAAACATGCATATCTGGGCCTATTCCCCTCCTCTCCCCATGTTCCAGAAAGTTCTCTAGTTTATGGAAAGATGAGAGGGCTCCAGAAGCCTTGACCTATAGAACAAAAATCCTATCTAGCTAACCCTAGAGGGCATTACAATAAAAAAGGCAAACAGTGCCTTGCATTGTAAGAATGCAAAACGCCACCCCTACACAACGGACATCAGCCTGCACGCATTTTAGAATGCGCACTGGCTTAAAGGGGTCCTAAATATATTTAGAGACAGGGATGGGTCCATGCATGTATTGTTCTGTCTTGCAATACCTTCCTGTACAGCCTCTGCATGGGTTGTCAGTACTGGAAATATGTTTATTGGATTAGCTACAGATCCACTTTAAAGCAGGCCTAGTTTCATAGATATTTCAAAAGCGAACATGTTATTTTGCTAGTCTAGACAAAGTACACGTTCTCTTTAAACATATGGCAATTATCTGATACAAAATCTTCTGTGAACAAGAGCTGCAGCAACATTATATCGCACAATGGGCTGAATGTGCTAAAATGCAAACTGTGAGCTCTTAACACTGCACAAATTGATTTCTATGTTTTCTGGTAATTATTTTGAAAAATACATGTGAAATGTTTACATGAAGAAAACATAATCACAAATAAAGAAAAACAATGTTTCTGGATTAACCTTTTAGTGTACTAATGAGATATGGTATCATGACAATGACTTTATAATTGTTCATTAAGAGACAGATCGTCAGAAGGTATTTTAAGACATATGGGTTATAGATCCACCTACAGAAAAATTGGACACTTGCAACAAGAAAACTGTTTTCCAGTATAACCCCTTCCATTCCCATCATGCTCGGTTTCTTGCCAGTGTCCTCAGAGAATGGATGCCTTTTTTTTTCTTTACGGTCTGTACAAGCAGCCTTGCCCAGTGAAGGCCCAAGGCAGGACAAAACGAAAATTGCCTGTTGTCCTATCTATTCAGTTCACACCACTGCACTGCAGTGGTTTGTGCTGAAAATAGTGAATAAACCTGAAAGGAATGTCGTTTTGTGACATTCCAATAAAGTTGAAAAAGAAAAGTAAATGGTGAAAGGCCCTGTGATTTCCATGTCGGCACTGTGTACTTCACAGTGCACACCAGAGGCTGTGTGAAAACAAGCTCTCAATTAAGCTTTTTCATTCGCTGTAGAACCAAGAGGGCTCCAGTCACAATTTTCTGGATTTAACTGATCTGTGGCACTGCCTAGGAGGCCATATCTGGACTCCACCAGGAGGAAGATGAAGGGCTGGCCATTAATGTGACCCTAGGGTACTGGACTCCACTTGTGGCATTCTCAAGGTACCTAGTGACCTGTTTAGCCACGATACACCTGCTGATATAAGCCAGTCCCTGAAGACTCTGGAAGTACAGAAGGTTGAAAACTATCTAGAATGCGACTGTTGACCACAGGATGTTCTCTAGACCACTTCTGCAGCAAGTGCTGGGGATTGCTTCTACATTTTTTCTAAGGAGTCACTGATAGTCTAGTCCTAATGCTAATGCTAATCCCTAATGCTGGGATATTTCTAGTCATTAACGTCTTCAAACCCAGAACCTTTTTTCCCTTTCTCCAATTAAGGCCCAGAGTTATAGATGGCAGATTTTTCTAAAAGGATATCATAAAACTGTTTTTTTTACTTCACATGGTTGCACAGAAAGTTTCAAGCTTGCACTGAAAGTTATATTTCACATTAGAAGTACCAGTTCTAACACACTATAACA